AACATAGAGAGAATGTACCTGAACATAATAAAGCCATATATGACAAGCTTGTAGCTAACATCATACTCAATGGTCAAAAGCTGAAAGCTTTTCCTCTAATATCTTTAACAAGACAAGGATGCCCACGCTCACCTTTTTTATTCAACCTAGTACTGGAAGTCCTAGCCAGAGAAATTAGGCAAGAAAAAGAATAAAAGGCATTCAAATCAGAAAAGAAGAAGTAAAACTGTCTATTTGCAGATGACATGATATTATGTATAGAAAACCCTAAAAATTTTACCAAAAAAACTGTTTGAACTAATAACAAATTCATCAAAGTTGCAGGATACAAAATCAATATACAAAAATCAGTTGTGTTTCTATACACTAACAACGAACTATAAAAAATTAATAAAACAATCCCATTTACAATTGTATCAAAAAAAAGAAATACCTGGGAATAAATTTAACCAAGGAGGTGAAATACTTGTACACTGAAAACTACAAGACATTGATGAAAGAAATTGAAGGAAACATAAATAAATGAAAAGATATTCCATGGTCATGGATTGGAAGAATTAATATTGTTAAAATGTCCGTACTACCCAAAGAGATCTACAGACTCAATGCAATCTCCATCAAAATTCCAATGGCATTTTTCACAGAAATAGAACAAACAATCCTATAATTTGTATGGAACCACAAAAGACCCCAAAAAGCCAAAGCAATCTTGAGAAAGAAGAACAAAGCTGGAGGCATCAAGCTCCTTGATTTCAAACTAGATTACAAAGTGATAGTAATCAAGACAGTATGGTATTAGAATAAAAAGAGACACATAAATCATTGGAACAGAATAGAGAGCCAGGAAATAAACTCATGCATATACAGTCAATTAATTTATGACAAAGGAGCCAAGAATATACAGTGGGGAAAAGATATTCTCTTCAATAAATGTTGCTGGGAAAACTGGACAGCCAAATGCAAAAGAATGAACTTGGACCCCTATCTTACACCACACACAGAAATCAACTCAAAATGGATTAAAGACTTGAACATAAGACCTGAACCCATAAAACTGAAATGCTGAAATTTGTAAAACTTGAACATAAGACGTGAAACTAGAAAACATAGAGGGTAAATTCCTTGATATCAGTCTTGGTAATAATTTTTTGGATTTGATACCAAAAGCAAAGGCAACAAAAGCAAAAATAAACAAGTGGGATTACATCAAACTAAAAAGTTTCTGCACAGCAAAGGAAACCATCAACAAAATGAAGAAGCAACTTAGTGAGTGGGAGAAAATATTTGCAAATCATATATCTGATAAGGGGTTAATATCCAAAATATATAAAGATCTCACACAACTTAATAGCAAAAAAACCCCCATGCAATCTGATTGGGCAGAGGAACTGCATAGACATTTTTCCAAAGAAGATATACAGTTTTTTTTTAGCCTTGGGAATAAAACTTTAATAATGTACAGCAGAAATTGGACAGGCTCATTCTTATATTAAAACAAAAGATTTCCTATATAACAACTTATTTACATATGCATACTGAAGAGGTAAAGTGACTAAGTGGCTATTTTATAGTCCTTTCTAATAAAATGTACAAAAACAAACAGAAGTACTGAGAATGCCGTTTGGGGCTTTGATGGAGACATAAGAATGGGCTTGTACTTGGTCTGTGAATCCAGAATCCAGAGGTGCGGGTAGTCTTATGGATCAGGGTCAGCCTCAGGGGGCCAAAATCCACCGATTTAGTTTCTTCTCGACTCTCTGACTCCTAACTCTTTGTATTAAGAGTGGTGGGGCTAGGGGTGGGAGCATCCCCCCCAAATGCTTCACCCCCATGTCCATTGCAGCCTTATTCCCAATAGCCAAGATAATGGAAACAATCTAAGTGTCCATCAACGGATGCATGGATATAGAAGATGTGATATATACATATATATATACACACATACATAATGAGATATTATTCAGCCACGAGAAAGAAGGAAATCCTGCCAATTGCAACAACATAGATGGACCTTGAGGGCATTATGCAAAGTGAAATAAGCCAGACAGAGAAAGACAAATAGTGCATGGTATCACTTATATGTGGAATCTAAAAAAAAAAAAAAAAAAAAGTCAAACTCATAGAAACACAGAGTAGAAAAGTGGTTGCCAGGGGCTGGGGGGTGGGGGAAATCAGGAGTGGTTAGTGAAAGGGTACAAACTTTCAGCTATAAGATGAATAAGGTCTGAGAATCTATTGTAAAACATGGTGACTATAGCCGATAACACTATTATATAATTAAAATTCGCTGAGAATAGAACTTAAGTGTTCTCACCAAAAAAAAAAAGAAAGATAAATATGTGAGGTGATGGATGTGTTAATTAATTAGATGGTGGGAATCAAATGAAAAACAACAAAACCCCCACAAATATATAGATATATATACGAAATAGGCAAGATGTGGCCAGAAGCACACTACTCCACAGAGATTCAAAGGAGTTTCTGTCCCTATGGGATGGGATACTTTGCTCTGAAGTGACACTGAGACAGGCTTACTCCCTCTATGCTACACCCCCCCCCCCCCATATCTTGGAGAAATGGTGTAGCTCAGAGCCACAGCTATCTTCTCGCTTACCTTGCCTCTCAGGAGATCCATTCTGTGCCAAGGAGATGGAGTGGTTTAAAGGCATGAATCTATTACATTAAAAAAATGTGCAGGGGCCAGCCTGGTGGCTTAGCGGTTAAGTTCGCGCCCTCTGCTTTGGTGGCCCGGGGTTTGCCGGTTCAGATCCTGGGTGCAGACCTACTCACCACTCATCAAGCAATGCTGAGGTGGCGTCCCATATAGAGCAACTAGAAGGATGTACAACTATGACATACAACTATCTAATGGGGCTTTGGGGAGAATAAAGGAAAAAAAGGAGGAAGACTGGCAACAGATGTTAGCTCAGGGCCAATCTTCCTCAAAAAAACAAAAACAGAAAAACTTCACCTTTAAAAAAAAACACGCAGAGCTTAATTAAAAAAAAAATGTGCGAACTCTACAAACCAAGCAATTCCTCATTCTGCTATCTACCTTAGAGAAATGCTCACAACACACACACAGGGAAGCATTGCTTATGACAGCAAAAGATGTTTAAATAAAAAAATTATGGAGTATACTTAGAACAGCACAATATTTACAAAACCTGTCAAATTAATTCTTCCAACTAAGAGAACTGGGTAAGAATTTGGATCCGTGATGTAGGGGATGAAGGTAAAGGGCTTTTCCAGGCCCTTGGGTTCTAATTCTCTTTCACTGTAACTATTATGGAATCTCCCGCATCAAGATCAAAAATGTGCTATTGAAAACTTGTAGCCCTTATTCAGGCTACAATTGCATGTCATATATAGTATTCTTAAGTGTCTCATTATTTGAAGATTTGGGGGAATTTTTTTGAAATGACAATAAGCTCAGTGAGATGTGGCTACCAAAATATGATAGAATGTTCTCTTAGGCAAGAATTTAGGACAAGGGAGAAAAGAGTCCCTCTCTACCATTTGCTTGTGAAATCATGTTTAAGTTGTATTTAATTCTGGATACCACACTTGAGCTGGGACATGGACACACTGGAGTTTATTTTCAAATCATCAGGATGGTGAGGGAACTTGAAACCATGTCACATGAGGCAGAGGTAAAAAAAAAAATTCCCCAGGGGAAAGAGAAAAACATCTCCAAAGAGCACCAGGAGGAAGATTCTTCTGTATGTTTTACAGGACCAGAACCAGGATGGAGATTACACAAACGCAGGTTCAACCAGGGAGCTGTGGGAAAAGACACATCTGAAAGCAGGAGATCCAGTCTACTTTTATGACTAGCCATGGGACCTTGGGGAAAGTCATTTAAATTCTCAAAGCCAGTGCTGTCCAACAGAACTTTCTGCAATGATGGAAATGTTCTATATTTTTGCTGTACAATACAGTAGTCACTAACCACAGGTACCTTATTCAGCACTTGAAATGTGGTTAGTGTGACTCAGGAACTGAATTTTTAATTTTATTTAATTTTAATAAATTTAAATTTAAATAGCTATATGTTGCGGCCACAGTATTTGAAAGGTGCAGCTCTAAGTTTTAATTTCCTCCTCTCTGAAGTGGAAATACTTATCAAATTGTTTACCTAAGGTTCAACCGACAATACATGTGACCTCTGAAAAACTGTACCGTACCACATAAGTGTTATGTTGATAATTATTTTATTATTGTCTTATCCTCAAGAGTTTCTAACATTCGGAATTAGAGAAAAATGGAATAAGCAGACTGAGAAAGTAGAGTTCCCCAAGTCTGGTTTTCAAATGCAAGTTTGAACCAGGCAGATATAACAGAAAGAACCAAGACATCCTGGGGAGCTGGGCGAAACACACCCTTGAAGTGTCTGCACAGACCTTCTTGAGGAGGTTCTCCCTCGAGTCCACCCTAGCTGAGTTAGTGACTCTCCTCTAGGGATTACGAGAACACTTTTGACACTGTACTGCAAAAAAACGGTGTTGGCTCAACTATATCTGCGAGCAGGTGCCTCTCAGACGTCTGTAGTTCACGGTTGCGTCCTCTGCGCTTAGTCAACCACCAGGCACATAGTAGGTCCTCAAACAATATTTGTTGAATAATTAACCTACCGTTCACTCTCGAGGGTATGATTCCCTGACAATAATTTAAGTAACTACTAAATTTGTGGGAAATATTAGTATTACAGTTCTTTGCGGACGAAGTGGGCGAATACCGGCTCCCGCAGCGGCGCAGTTGGATATGCTCTGTGCCAGGAGGCCTGCCAGCGATGACTTCTCTCTCTTTGGCCCTTTTGCTCCCTCTTATCTTCAGGCTGCAGAGGATCTCGCAGTCACGAGGTCGCGACAATCCGCGCCGTCGTGGAGACGAGCGGGATGCGAAGAGAGAACTACATTTCCCAGCTGACTCTCCTGCGCGCGCCCCTGCCCGCGCGCGGGGGGCGAGTGCACCAGGCGCTCACTCCCTGCCGAGCGCTCCTCGCCCGCCAGAGCCTTTGCCAGGGGATGGGGTGGGAGGCGCTAGAAACCACTTAGCTACAGCCAACCGCCCAATGCAGCACTCGCTCGCTCCCCCCGCCAGCGGAAGCGCCCGCGGAGCACAATGCAGCACTGAGGCAGCGCCGCGGTGGAGGCTGCAGCGCCACGGCCACCGCAGCACCGGCCGGGGCTGGGAGGGGGCGGCCGAGGCAAACCGGCGGGCGCGGGGCGAGGGAGCCGGACCCCGCTGCCGGGGCATGAGGAGCTGAGCGTCTCCAACGGGGCGGTTGACGGCAGCACCATGCAGGCGGCGGCGGCTGCGTCCGTGCCCTTCTTGCTGCTCTGCGCCCTGGGGACCTGCCCCCCGGCGCGCTGCGGCCGGGCAGGTAAGTTCGCCACCCTCTCTGGCTTCGGGACGTACCATTTCCCGGGAATCTTTGCAGCACTCAAGCACAGTGAAAAGAGGCATCCCCATTTCCCCAGTGCGCGGGGAGATTTTTTATTTAGAAGGGTGGTGAGAAGTGAGGCAAAAATACATGTGTGGGGGCGCGCGGAATCATTAGAAACCTTCGCTCAAATTCCTGTTTTTTTTTTTCTTGTGAAGAAGAGGAATGCGGAGGATGGGAAAGGGGTGCTCTGCTCCTGGGCCCCGATCCTGGATGCTCTCAGATGAGCTGGTCCAAGGCTCTCGGGCCGGTATCTCTGCGTCCTTCCCAGATGCGGTCCGGGAGGGAGGGGGCGGTGGGATTTTCATAGAGGAGACGTCGGACCGCAGGATGGACGAGTGTGGGTCAGGGTCCTTATTTTCGCCTTTTCTCCTCTCTCTCTCCTTAACCCCTTCGTGCCTGGAGGAGACGCCTCGTTGACGGAGCTGGAAAAAAGGAACGAAAACCGCTTCCTGGAGCGCCAGAGCATCGTGCCACTCCGGCTTCTCTACCTCTCGGGCGGCGAAGACGAAACTGGGCACGACGCGCTCGATACGCGAGTGCGGGGCGACCCCGGCGGCGGGCAGGTGAGAAGCGCGGTCGGGGGGGTGGTCCGCGGCGCGGCGCGGCGCAGCCGGGCCCATCCCAACCCCACGTTTGCTCTCCGTTGCCCTGGAGATGCAGTGTCTTCGGTGAAATGAACGCAGTCCTAACGCGAGTCATGCATGGCGCTCCCTGTGCAAAAAAGAAGGGAAAAGGGGGACAAAACCCCAAAAGAAACATAGGCCGAGGGCTTGGCTGGAGAGGAGTTTGTGCGGGATGCTTCCAGCAGTGCGGCGACCTGCGCGAAGGGGCGCAGACCGTATCACCTCTGTCAAGCAAAAGCCATGCATAGGCAAGAAGGGATATAATATTTGGGCAGGATTTGCATCATCGTTATGGTTGTTGTGGTTCTTGTTGTTTTAATCCTCAAAGAGAAGACTTTATAAGTGATTTAAACCAAGATTGGTACTGTAGAAAAATTGGAAAAACAAGCCCAGGCACCCCTAACTAAACTCAAACCATAAAAATAAGCTAAACTTTGAAGTTCTGAGCTTACTGAAGCTGGACCCCAGAGTTGTACCCAATCACCGCCACCTTCCAGAAAAGGCGTCCCCCTCCCCCCTTTCTTGTTGGTAGCAGTCCTCTTGGTGTAATTAGGGCCATGTTGCTTATTGGAAGTTTATAAATTATGTTTTAAAAAAATCTATTTACCATTTACCCATATTTAGATCAATATCACACATCCACAGATATGCCTGAAAATTATTTTGATCTTACTGGTTAATTTCAATAAATATTTGGGGGCTTTGTAAACATTTTTTGTATTTATATACATTAATTTGGCAACTTGTTCACTCGAGTGTAAGTATATATTAAGATAGAATTTTTTCATGTAGTGGAAAATTTTGTAAACTTCTGAAGCAGTCAGGCTGAACATTTTCACATGTATAAATATACTCATTCATTAATACTTTAAGATGTATCTTGATGTGATAGTTATACTAATTTATCTGTATGTGTAAAATGTGTAAAAACAGAAAAATACTACTTAAATCTGTACTTGTACTAATTTGTAACTAAACCAAATGCCTAGTTGTTAAAATTTTAGTGTAAGATCGAAATTAGTTTAAAGGGCCACAGCAGTATCTATCAAAGTTGGAATATTGTAGTAGAGAATCTAATATGCTAAGCCTTAATGAAAGATTCTATTATTTGAATTAACGTTTGGTAAATACCCATTTTTCTTTTCCATTTCAACTTGTTTCCATTGTAAAACTGAAGAAGTCAGGGACACAGTTTCCCTGTCTTATTTTTCAATAAATTATGATTATTTCTGTGGAGGAATATTCTCATACCTATTTACAACCTTTGATTATAAAAAAGTTCCAAAACACACAAAAGTAGACAATATTATAATGAGCTCCCAGCTTCAACAATTAGCAACCATAGCCAGCCTTGTTTTATCTATATCCTACCTATTTTCTTCCCCTTTCTGTATTATTTTGAAGCAAATCAGATCATTTCATTCATAAGACATTTCAGTGTGTACCTCTAAAAGATAAGGATTCTTTTAAACATGTAACTATGATATTATCATATCTAATATATAAATATATATTAAATATTAAATATATATGTTAAATTATATATGATATATAAATATATTAAATAAATATTTAAATATAATAAATATATACTTAAGTGTGTTTGATCTGGAACCCAAGTAATAGACTGCAATTAGTGTACTTCTTTGTTTTTTAAGTCTCTTTAGTACATATTTCCCCCCTCCATTTCCTTATTTTTTTTTTTTTTTTTTTTTTTTTTTTTTTTAAAGATTTTATTTATTCAGTTTTTTCCCCCCAAAGCCCCAGTAGATAGTTGTATGTCATAGGTTCACATCCTTCTAGTTGCTGCACGTGGGACTCGGCCTCGCGTTGGACGGAGAAGTGGTGCCTCGGGGCGCTCCCGGGATCTGAACCCGGGCCGCCAGCATCAGAGCGCACGCACTTAACCGCCAAGCCACGGAGCCGGCCCAGCCATTTCCTTATTTTTTTCCTTGCAATTTGTTCATTGAAGACCGGGGTTCTTCTATCCTGTAGAGTTTCCTGCAGTGTGAATTTTTGCTGATATAGTCAGTGCTTTAAAACAAATCACAAAGACTTTCTCAGAGAGCAAGGGAGACAGATGGAAGCAGAGAAAAAAGAAAACTGCAGGATTGAACCTGGAAATGCTGAGTCTCTGCGTCATGCTGGTAATGCCTTCAGGTACCTCCTGCCCTTCTCTGTGTTGGTGAGTGACCACCACTTTTGGAAGACAGGCCAGGCCTCCTCCTTTTCTCCCCGTTATGGAGCACCACTTCTGCAGTTTGTTGGTTCGTAGGCCTCTCCACTTAGGGCAGAAGATACCTTGGGCCCGTGTAGCTTCCACTTTCTCCAGCAGTAAAACTACAATTGAGAAGAATGACGCTGGCCTTGGTCAGGTAAGAAGGAATTGCTAGGATATAGGCTAAACATCATGAATAGATTTTTAATTCAAGTCAGAAATGAAAGTAAAGATACTGTCTTGTCATCAAACTAACTATTACAAGAAATGTTCTCTGTGCCTGGCACAGAGTAAGGTACACACAGTACATCTGGTTGGATGTCTGGATCACCTGGGGAGCTGCTTCAGTTTACCATGCTCCTTAAACCACAGTTAGAAATCATTGACCACAGGACTGAATCTGGCAGTTAGAGTTGTAAAGACCTAGTTGCCCTATGTCAACTTTTTCTACAATTAGAGAAACTAAGGAGTTTTCCTGCATTTTGGTATTTCTAGTTTCCTTCAGAGCTACCATTGGACCTGAAAACATAAGTTAATCATCTCTGGCCCTTGTCATTTCTTTGGTAATTAAATAGATATAATTTATGGCATCGTAGCTACCCATAGATATTTTTAGCAACTTTCTTTCTAGTTCAGAAATAAAATTAGGATGATTTTCTGTCAGCTCACGAAACTGATATATTCATTTATTGATTTGTTATTTAAAGACATTTTTACTTGAGCTCCTACTGTATACCAATTTTCTTGCAAGGCTCTGGGGATTTAGAGATAAAAGACACAGTTCTGGCATTGAAGGAATTTACAGACAAGTGGGAAGATAGATGAGGGAACAAGCGGTTACTCTCTGCCCTTCTGTGTGATTTTTCTGGAGGTGATCACAGAGAGCTGTGGAAGCAGAAAAGACCTAGTACTTAACAGATGAGCAGTCAGGGTGGGCTCTCAGGTAGAGGTGCTGTCTGAGCTGTATTTTGAGAGTGAGTAGGAGTTGGTCAGATTAAAGGGAGGGGGTAGGCATATCAAACTGAAGGGGCAGCAAGTACATAGGTGTGTGGGAGTCAGGACATTTTTTTGTTAACTGCAAATAGTTAGGATTTAAGGGACAGATGAGACAAAACAGGAAAGAGGAGAGTAGATGCTGCAGCACCTTCATGATTTGCTGAGGAATTTGGGCTTTGTCCTAAAGGCAATCTAAGGATTTCGGTAAGGAGAGAGAATTGGCCAGATTCATGTTACTGTGGGATAATCCCATTGTTAGAATGATTAATTTTAATTTCAAAGAGTAAGTGAATGTGGTTGTTCAGTTTAACTCATTGGTAATTGCCAATTCACATACTTGTTAAGCTTCGTAAGAATTTAGTTACAAGGGATACTGAAAATACTGTGTAAATTAGTTAATATTTATAAAGCACTTGGAACAATGCTGGGCACATTGTAAGCACTATGTGAGTTTTTGTTAAATAACATAAACTCCCTCAGGTTGCTTGAGTACTATTTAGAAATTTTATGACATCTTTTTAATGCAAAATGGTGTCCTAAATACCTGAATTTAACACATTCCCAGAAGTAAGTTACAAACTACTCAGATTTACATAACTCAGTGGAACCTAACAGTCCTAGAGATGGAAGAGACCTTATAGGTCATCTAACCTAATTCAGGAATTACTTCTCATCTGGTAAGATCAAGCCATTGACCTGGAGTAAGGAAACAAGCAACGTATTACTTAATGTTTCAGAAAGCACACAAGAATTATGGCGGTATAAAACACCTTAATTTTACCCTTAATATGTCCTTGTTTCAGTTTTCATCACTCAATGGAACAGAACATTTATGTTTTTGGAAGAAATTTTCATTTTTGTTATGTGGAAATACTGGCAATTTGATTGATGTGAAATAATAATTCTATTGATATGAGTCCATGTTGTAAAAGATTTCTTTACTAGACAGCCAGTTACTTGAATGCATACTTTATTTTTATCCAAAGTGGGATGATCAGCCCATACTGAAAGCTTGTTATGCCATAAAGTCCTAGAAATGATAATCAAAGAAATCATATTTGATTGTGGGTAACTTTGCTATCCTCAAGGTTGTCTGCCTAGTCTGAAGTAATTTCAGTCTTGTAAAATAGCAGTCAGAATTAGAATGTTCAAAATATTCAGTCTTTCTTTCATTCTTTTGACTTGAAATTATTTGTGCAGAAGGAATTGTATGTTTGCAGATAAAAAGGTAAAACATTTTTAACTGGACACTCCTGTGGGCAAGATATCACCTACTGAGTCTGACTGATGGTTTGATACTGATAATCACGTAACTGCTATTTTTGAGAATAAGCACATGATGTAATCTATGCAGAAATAGAAGTATAATGATGTACGCCTGAAATTTATATAACGTCATAAACCAATGTTACTGCAGTAAAAAAAAAAATAAAAATAAAAAAAGTTAAAAAAAAAGAATAAGCACCTTAATGATTACCCCTTTTTTGCTAGCCAAGCATGACAGATTTACTTGGAGCATCAAAGATAGGTTATTTAGTGGTTTATTTCCTTGTGTGATCACCCCATAAATTTCCAATAATTTGTTTTTCACCCAGTGATTACATTTCTCTACAAATAGCAGGAATTTCTTTTTGTCAGAAGCCTTTGTTGTCAGTGAATAGATGGGCTACTTATTTCTCTCTTTCCCTGGAAAGTGTTATAGCTTCTTAAGTAGTCAAGTGCCAAG